CCACGGGCAGAGGGATACACAAACAAAAACTACCCCAAATCATCAATTAATTTTTCATCAAGGCTTATCAAGTATTCAAGCAGGAGACTAGGGTTCGAGGAGAAAGTGAGAGAGAAATGTAGAAGATTCACTCCTCGATCACTTTGGCTGCTTGGTGTTTAGTCTGTTGATCTCATTCTCTGATACCACCGTGTAAACAGTGACCATCGACAGTTGTCCACATTGACGCCCATAATGACTCATCGATGTTGCTTGTCAATATATGATCATGAGACATCCGGTCAATATTATTGTTGGCGTTTATCAGCTGTATCTACACACTTTCTTCTTTTCGTGTCACTTAGTCCGCCATTGCTTCTGCCAAGTCGGAAATAGAATTCATGTGGTGCTTCAACAAACTTGAATCGACGAATAGAATGTCCTTCCTGTTGTGATGCTTCTTGAGGACATCATGAAGGATCACACTGTGGGACTTAATTCTATTTCTATTGTTTAGTCCATGAGAGGAGATCGATAGGATTTATGTATACGACTTCTTCTTTTCGAGAACAATATCGTATGACCTAGGCTGCTAAAAACAACTTCTCACCACAGAAACAATATACTTTTCCAATTTCCAGACGTTGAGACTATTTCTATTCTGCTATATATTTATCTTGAAATAGAGGAATATGCCACTCAGTGATGGATGACGATTATTAAGACTTTCACCCATTCGCAAGATAATCCTTTCACGAAGAAAGAGCGAAGTGCATTCTTGAAAACTAAAGATTCAACTCCGAGCAACTAAGACGGGTGCTGAGAGTCGGACGCTTTCAGTTCTGCTAAACAATCACCACGTAATGCTATTCTTTGCATCGATTATTTTGAACATTAAGGGAATTTGAAAGAAATAAGTTTTTGGGTGTTGTATGTCACTGGCGTATAAAGCTCTCGGACAACCACCACCGTCACTATTAGAACTTTAACATTGACTACTTCCATCCAAACTACTTGATGAAATGGAATCGGAGGACACTCAGATCGATTGTTGTGAGGAGGTAAGTTATTCTACAGCCTTATTAGTATCATCGAGAGTAAGTATAAAACACGTTGTGAAGGAATTAGATCACAAAAACTTTCCATATCTACCTTTTGCACCTATTGCCTTTCTTCCCTTCGGTAAAGAAGTACAAATGAGTTGCAATCGCAGGGACACACTTTTGATTCAAAACGTGTGATACTGAATTATTAATGTAGTACCCTATGCCAAAGACAACTATGTTTTTCAATTCCACTGGGAAAAATGTAGATGATTTTTGTATATTTGAATATACTCCGTACTATACATATAATTCATTGATCGTGAGGGTCACATACAATTATAGTCTTCACGCATTTCTTTTTGACATTTTAACTCGATTTTTCTGGAACTATGTACTTGCCACCTTTGATATTTTTAGTGGCATAAATATTTGGATGATTTATTATCGAACGTCTTTCAGAAAAAGGCTTTCTCTGCTTCAAATCAATCACACTCTGGTGTTCGCTAATGTAGATGTTAGACTGTCATCAGCGGTAGATATGAAGCTGTTATCAGCCAAACACCACTCCCCTCCCCTCCCCTCCGGGGGAAAACGATCGGAATGGCGACATGCAAAAGTATCATAGGTGGATGGGGGTACCCCACACTAGTGACGGAAGAATTAGAGAAAGAAAATCGCGGAAAGAAACATAGATATGAGAAGAAATAGAGAGACGGGAAAGGAACGAAGAAAATTTAAAAAAGGGCAGAAGAAGGAGAATGAGAAGACGGAGAAGAAGGAGGAGGATGATGAATAAGAAGAATAAGAAGAGGAAGAAAAAGAAGAAGAAAAAGAAGAAGAAGAAGCAGAAGTAGAAGTAGAAGAAGAAGAAGAAGAAGAAGAAGAAGAAGAAGAAGAAGAAGAAGAAGAAGAAAGGTAAAAGAGGACAGCGATCTGATGCCGTCTCGGCCCAAATACTTGGTACATGTTGTATCTCTGCTATCTTGCATTTTATGAATCACCCCTCTCATCTGCCCCATCCCAAAAGTGCACCCTTATTGAGATGGCTATCCCATTGAAGGGATTATCTAGAAGTCACGGTAAGTATCCAGAGAACGCGAAGCTTAATCGCTATTGAGCTTTCTCTCTCAAGACATGCAAGGACCCCTATATCAGTGGTAACTCAGGTTATCCATATCAAGGTGGTGTCAATATTCTCACCTGTTAAAGAAGAAGGGATACGTTCACCCAACCCACAATTTATTCCATCTTGCTGCGTGTTGGCGGCGAGTTCTTCTTGTTTTCATCAACACAGTTGAACTGATTACTTCTAGCTGAGAGAAGTTTTATCATGTTACCAAGACGAATGAAATCTTGGAATCATAAATCACAATTTGCTCAAGGATCGCGAACACGCCTTTGACGTCAGAGCCAGCCTTTGACAAAACCTGGTGCAAATTAGAAGACATGAATAGCGTTTATGGGAGCATGTGCGTTTGGCTTCCGTTTCCTAAGGCTTGTGATCAAGACTTCATACATCTTAAATATTTACTGAATATCCGGGTACTGAATTGGATGGAAAGTCATAACAACGTGTGTACGTGTGTAAATCATGCGATTAGGTTGGAAATGCATCCAAGAAAGAAAAAAGTTCAGAAACACAGCAAATGAAAAAGACAAAAGTCATTTGAAGGGAAATGGTCATACACACAATTTTGCTGAGGTTGTGGTTTCTTTTGATTGCAAGTTGTGAAATAAAAGCACGAATAAGGAAGGAGATGATTTTTGAAGAAAAAAAATGATTTAAAGGAGATATAATACAATATGAAGACGAGAGAGCGAGAGAGAGATAGAGAGAGAGGTTGAAAGACAGGGAAATGGGGAAGGGATGAGAGTGAAAATGAAAATAGATCAACATGATACGGATAGAGACACGTTGATTATGCCCATGAAAATACAGTGTCCGATGTATACTGTACTGATTACGTCATATTTCATGACATCCGAGTTATGATAATACAGGCACGTCTCGGCTTTTTAGAAGACTTATTAATTGAGGAAATGTGTAGATATTGAATAAAGCAAAAAAACGTGCACGTTCGATCACATTCATGGAAATGTATTCAGTAATACCATTTCTATTATGTCGAGTATGGATAAGGAATGGAAAATGTTGTTTAAGTTTGCCATCATTCGTGAAATAAACAGAATTAATATCGTTATAGTGATTAAGCACAGTACAACTACCGAATGCGCGGTAAAATCCTTTGAATACATTAAATCCATACTTTTCACTCTGTTCTGATATCATAAATATTCTTCTAGTCCATAACTATCAAGGCAGATGGGATCTACGAGAACAGACATTCCCAAACTGAACATGCTGCCTCATTGTATTGTTATTATTTGGATTAGGTTTGCTTAAGCCATTAATGATGAATTTGCAATTTGTATTTGTAAAGCACGTTCTTATTACCTATAATACACCCCTTTGTGATACAATGTTGTCCGTAGATATTGTACAGAGTAGTTCATATTGTTTGTCTGTGTTGTCTTTTTTTTTTACGTCATAGCCCTCCGTGATGCCCGTATATACGAAACATGATTTATGTTATTCATGTAAGTTATACTCAAACGGACGTGACGTAACAATTTCTAGTTCCCTCCTCTATCTTCTACTAACGACTGAGTGAGAAAGAGGGAGGGAGAGATAGAGTTATATCCTTACTGACAAGCTCAGCTTCCCTGAAAGCGGGTATACTTGACGAATCTTGACTCTAGTGACCCTCTCAACATACATATTTATAAGCGCCTGGGACTATTGTAGAAAATGAACTTTTTCCGAGAAAACTAAAGTGACAGTGTGAATGACCGTTTGGGAGTATCAAACTGACAGAAAATGAATTTAATAGTCGTGCGGATTTCTTGCATTTTCCCTCTGTCAATTTTTAACGTATTATGATGACATATCCATTTCATTTGTTCTTTTTTTAATTCATGATTTTATGGTCAGTATTCATTTCCTTGTACATGACTGTATATAGCAAAACATGGTGACATATTCATTTCTTGTGTTAATATATTTTTAATTTAAGTGAAATAAACAAGGAGATATAAAGCGTGGTGGTCGGTTCAGTGGTAGAGCAGCGGTCTCGTAACCTGGAGATCCCGGGTTTGAAACCAAATCGATGCGCTAGTGCCCCCCTCCCTCGGAGAGGACTTTAAACAGTCGGTCCTCTCTTTGCTTATTTACCAGCAAACACTTGCTTTCTTAGCAGTCAGGTAAAACGAAACAAAGCAACCAAAGAAACAGGCGTAAAGGACTACTATATAATGCTGATCGCAGTCGTTGATGTCCAATGTCTAACTGTACACTCTATGAAACTAGAATATGAAATCAACTTTCCGTAGGGCTGAGAAGTAATAGGGCTTCCAACATTGTGGATCGAATTCTTTTTATCTGCTCGATTACTTTGGACCCACACTACTGAACATCTCACAGGAAATGATATAAACAAATAATCTGTATAATGTATGTTTCAAGGCCCTCTCTTGGAGCTGACACGTGTCATTAAAACACCTCTAAAATCAATAACCTTTGCTTGTTAATGAACTCCCACTACGAAGCTTGTATCTGATTATAGTCATTTTTGTAACGTATGGCATTGTCAGGAAAAGCATGCACATAATTGTGAGGATCATTGTTTTAAAAAAAATGCTTGAAGTGATCGTTTAACTGATCATGATTCGTATAATATTTCAGCCGATTACACTGACATAGTAGATTATCAATTAGTATTGGTAGCGAGTGCTCCAGCTCTTTGTAAGTCGTTGACATATAAGAAAACTATCGAATCGAAAAACAATCAAGATTGTTGGAAATGTAATAGAATACTTCAAGATTAAAATTGATGAAAGTTCGTTTAAAGTGCTTGGGCTTGACAATTATTAATGTCAAAATAAATAAAATGATATATCTTTTTTTTCTTTAAACAGCGTGGCACTGGCTCCTTCACAAACGCCCTTCACGAGAACCCATACCTGACCATAGTGATTCTAGTAGCCGGAGTAGCCGGGGGTCTGGCATTGGTCATCGCTGTCATCTTCTTCTGCAAATACTGCGTCAAAGGCAAGAGAGGTCTCAACAGGTAAGACATGTGCTGAGAGAGCAAGAAGGGCGTTAAGTTATATACGGAGTTAAGGTATTTTTTAAGATGATGACGTTTGATCCTTATCAAATGACTGGTTGAAAGCGTATACGTGATCAGGCATTTTTTTGCCTAACGCGTAATTTGGATAATGACCGTTCATTATCTAATTATAATGGACGGTTATTAGTAAAATCATGTTATAAAACATCATTTTATAAAACAAATAAAACATAATCTTATAAAACAAATAATACACAACTTTTTGTTCGAGCACTAGTAAAATTACCCACACCCGGAACCTTTGAAACAGTCCAATCACCCTCGGCTACCGCCTCGGGCGTGTTAGACTGTTCCAAAATTGTACCTTGTATGGGTAATTCTTACTATTGCCCTCATTGCTGTGTATTATTTGTATAATATTATTGGATTAAAGTGCTAGGCAGATGATGACATGATTTGAGTTTATTTGATTTGATATCATTGATTCTGGCTAGGTGATTGAAGTGCTCAAATCATAAATTTGTATGCAATAAAACCTGAGGTGTATATTATAATTATTATTATGTGATTTTTTCCCCCAATATCATTCTGGTATTCGTAATAGTACATGGATGTCAGATGTCATCATGATGATGATATAATTAATTCTACATAACTCATATGAGATACTGCGTGTGCTTTAGTTAGGTTCAATACACAATCCTCGTAGGTTATTCATGGTATTGCGACAAGGTCATCTTTTGATTATATCTGGGTCAAGCTCAAATTGATTGACTAGCAAGAGGAAGGTGAAGAAGAAAGCAGATGCACTCAATATATTGACACGGTTTGAAAAGACGGGAAAATCATGTGATCACTGGACAGAGAGATTTTTCATTTGGATATTGACTAGCTGATGATTCAGTGTTGGGGGGGGGGGGGGAGGGGGCACGGGCATTTTTGGTTCAAAAAGGGACATCGGGAAGAGAAAGGATTGAGAATGCAAGATGAAAGAGGGATAGATAGAGGTTATGATAAGAGGTAACGTGATAAAGAGCAGGCGGGGAGAAGACGACAGGAAAAAAGAGGGGAGAAATTAAGAACATGAAATAAAAATTGCACCGCCCCACCCTCTGCCGATCACCCTATCTTTTTGTATACTGTAACTGGTACGTGCTTCCTATAAGTTATAAGAGCGCTTACTGTATGATGTGGGGTTTCCCCCTTCTCGATAATTAATTTACATGATCGGTTTTCCATGAAGTATATTTTATTGACAACAAGCACTTCTTCTAATCATTTCACAACGATTATAAAGGACGATATTAGTGTTCGTGTTTAACTCCATCTCTCCTCTGTCTCTGTCTCGGTCTCTCTGTCTCTCCCTCAGTCTCTCTCTCTCTCTCTCTCTTTCTCTCTCTCTCTCTCTCTCTCTCTCTCTCTCTCTCCCTCACTCTCAGTGTCTCTCCTTTCTTCTTCTGTTGTCTGTATGTCTGTCTGTCTGTCTGCCTCTAGTCGCATTTTGGGATCAAGGAATATCGTTAATTCACATATTCCCCCCATCTTCAATTATTAACATCGGTGTCCTTCGAGACCGATATTTCTCCGAAGATACTACCGATCCCTTCTTCAGTCCAATTATTACTAAATAGTCTCACACCCACGCGTACACATCAAAAGATTCTTCCTTTCGAACATTGCTCAATGTAGTATTATCTCGGTCATTGATCTAGTTTATTGAATACGATCTAGATCATTATCAAGACTAATGCAAATGGCTTTTACACATTGATTAAGTCAGTGAAGTGGAATAAATTGCGGCATAGTCAGTGTGATCGTCTAATAGACCACAATATTTAGTGAAATTGAATTAAAATTCGCCGAACGGATATGATCAGACTTGCCTTGAAGTGAGTCTATGAGCTGCGTCTCATGACACGGTTTAATCCTCTTTCGCCTGGTTGATTTCTAATATCATTTCGGCGACCAGAATAAGAAGATGCGGAACAGGGGTAATTCTATGCCTCTCTTTATGTATTGCAAGCACGGAAAAAGCTCTCTGCAGGGACGTATGAATATCGTAAGAAAGAAAGGGAGACAATATTTCTAGAATTGTAAGAAGAGGCAGCGGTAGAGAGCGATTTGATTTCAGGCTCATGCATGAGTACCTCATGTTCTTGACTTAAGAGATGGAATTGTGCAGGCGACAAATATGTCAAAATACAATGTAAAGTGTGATTGTGCAATCGAATGGATTGGAGGAAGAGTGGGATGGTGAAAGAGAAGGGAAGGAAAATAATAAAGGGATATAGAGACATTGCGAGAGAGAGAAGAGAGGGGGAAGGAAGAGCAAAGATAGGGGTGGGAGGGGGGGGGGGGGTGAGAGAACGAAAGACCTGAGAGAAGAAAGAGGGACAGAGAAGTCAAGTATATACCTGTGACTTTAAGCTTCCTTTGGGTTAGATCTGGATAATAATAATTAATGTCTGTATTCGACAAATTTGGCCTATGATTGTACCAATGATAAACATTAACCAAGAACTAAAAATGCCATCTCATTTGCTCTATATAAATATATAATTTGTTTTGCTGTACCAAACGGTTTATCAAGGCCATAGTGTACACGCAGTTGAGCAATGCTTCTATTTTGATCGGTAAAAGTCAGACATACTTCAGTTTCTGAGTCAAATGTATTGCATACAGAATTCAAAACCCTAATTTAGAATACAGAAAGTAAAAACGATGCTAGAAACGAACAAATTGGGTCAAAAATAGATATTACATATTGGATAGCATTTCTCATTATGAGCACTTGATTCAATGGAGTACTGGTTCAGGTCAAAGCTCTTCAGTTTGGAGAGACAGTCTGAGAGTAATTGGAGGAAAAGATACTTCAAACGTTTATGAAGGATACGTGGGAAATACGAATGAACTTAAGTATTTCTGGTCATTAAAAGGGCGCTTAGAAATAAAGAAGGTTTACATTGTTAGTCAATTCAATATTTTATCTTCACAATTGGTTCTTCAATCAGCTTAAGATACGCTAATGATTGATTTAACCACTGAAATGATTTATTATTGTGATAATGATGAGACGATGATGATAATAATGTTATTATGATGATGATGATAATTATAATTATATTACAAATATTGACAAGTTAAATATCAGCCAAAATTATTCCGCTTAATTATATGCTTGGTTGAATTTTCTCGCTAATGGAATAGCGTGCACACAGTGGCGTACGTGATCACGAATATATGTCAATTTCATCCTTCATAGAATGAAAACTAGCTTAGAATGTATTACGTATCCCCTTATGCTCTTAAAAGTACGGTCCATAGTGAGCGAGACTATATAAGCACGTATATATCACGATGGAGGCAATATTACGCGTGATTTAATAATGTATTCGTATCATAAAACAATTATCTGCTTCCGTCACTCATCGTGTATAGTGATGTACTGATGAATATTATGTATCACACTAATACAGAAGAAAATATGTTCGTCCCTGGTGCATGCAGGCAGAGTTGCTTAACTGTCAACACTAGTTTTAGATAAATTAACGAGAATGGACAATAAAAGTACATCTACACCGGCCCGTTTTTATATTGCATACCCATCCTGAAAGGCAAAACTATACACTATCAAATCACAGAAACAGATTTATAATTGTATAAGTATTATAAGTGCTGAAAATAGTGTCTCATCGTTGTCAATTTGAAACCGCAACTGACTTTACTCGTAGTATACATGACAATAGTTTGAGAACATTAATATAATTGTGATATCATCAAATAGTCATAAGGATTCCATCGGTCATATGAAAATAAAACAATAAATCAAATTCACTATTGTTGTTATTTCTTTCAAATCCTGCCGTGGGCGGGTCTTAATGTTTGTGGGGGCCTTTAGATACTACTTCGGAAGACTATTTGAACAAGAATTGCCTGATTGTATGAATCAAAAGGACGAGTACCATTAATTCATTGTGATAGTGGGAGAGATAATCAGTCCTTGCATATTTTGTAGGGGGCGAAGTAGCGAAATAAGAACCCCTTCAACATTCCCACCTACCATCTTCACGCATTTTCAAAATGTTATTATGAATCAAAATAACAATTGTGAGGATCGTAGATTCATTGTAACAGCGAGAGAGATAATATCATTAGCTGCATTGAAAAAAAGGGGGGGGGGTAGCGAAGGAGAAAGCCCCCTCTACCATCCCCACCTACCATCTTGCCACACCCCTGACCTGCATTCTGTTTACCCCTCACCTCCTCTCTCATCTCCTCCTTCACATGATTGAACTGACATCCTAGAGGTATCGTGAATTATGGAGAAGTTAATCTATTTTATGCTCGGGTGTACATCACCCATACGCACCGCATCACACATGCATATTTTCTCTCTCGCTCATGCGGATTTTCTCAAATGTCGACCGCTAGCATCCCCTTCAGTCCATCTGTATCTGACGCAGAGGTTGGGTGCTGGTGAGTTTGGATTAGGGCTTTTTGAGCGGGCTGAAGCAATGTTTGTCATATTCCAGTGTCAACTTAGATATAATAATAATAATAATCTTTTAAAGTCCTCTCCAAATTTTATTAAGTTAAACCAAAAATTGAAATTATTTTTGCCCAATTGATCGTGAGCCCGGCAGTCAATGAGCAGCGCCAGATCGACGTTGCTCTATCCCTTATTGTTGAACGCCAAACAAGGTAGCAGCAACTCCCGTCTTTTAACGTCTTTTGGTATGACGCGGCCGGGGTTCGAAAATGAAAATAATAATAATGACAATGATGCTAATGATAATAATAATATCATTATAACTACACTAACCAAAATAAAAACGAAATATTATTCACCCACTTTTTCCTAAAGTGTACATAATTATATGGATTGTGATGATAATAACTTTATGGTGCTATATCTTAAGGGTGTATAGCTTCTACATGCAGTATCAAACGAGTTGACGGTGTACCACAAAGGGATCCCATCTGGTCGCCAGAATGTACTTAGATACCAAATGTGAATTTCTCCCTAGAATTCATGAGTTCTAGAGCGATTGTAATCTATTTTGCCATCGCTATCAAGAGCATAAAATCTACACACTTGACAAATCTATTTGTGACCTGCATGACCTTTCCAGCACTTTAACTTCGATCGATTGCAGAGTGCACTGTAAAATATGAATTCATGGTCAATCTCATAGATGAAAGGAGAATGAGAGAGAGAGAGAGAGAGAGAGAATGAGAGAGACAGAGAGAGAGAGAGACAGAGACAGAGAGAGAAGAGAGAGAGAGAATGAGAGAGAGAGAGAGAGAGAGAGAGAGAGAGAGAGAGAGAGAGAGAGAGAGGGAGGGGATTACAATTTGTAAGGATTAATACAAGACTCTGACAGGATCTTCATTTTGGATGTCCTCTGATGGGTTTGCAGCTGGACAATTTGTGGCTGTCAAGAGTCTGAGATACACTCTTTATAATATAAGCTCTTCACTATTTGACAGAATTATTATTCGACTGAGGGAGCGAAAAAACGGACGTTAGCGTGAATACTAGAAGTAAACCTTTCCTAAAATGATGATATTCCTACTTGACAGTGAAATGCACCGATACAGTTAAATGGTAATTTCATCGAGCTACAAACGAGACTCATGCGGTTAGTTATGGTATCAGAATTTGATATATATTTTGTTTAATTACAACGTAAATATTACCCATCAAGTAAAGCGATAGATTAAAATATGAAACTCATCGATGAGGTATCGAATTTCTTGATATCGATAGCCTTCCTCGATGCGTCTTTCCAAAACCATTCAAGTTCATCCTCGAACACAGGTTAGGCGGATGTTTCTGGCTAACTATCTTTTTCTTTCCTCCCCCAGGCGTGTTTTATTTCATGAACGGAAATATAAAACGCTCACGTTTAGCTATCACGTTAATGAATTAATTCTTCAAATTCTTCAAAATGAGGGGTTAACATTTTTTGATTCTGTAGAAACGTCGTCAATTTCCGTCAATAGGGACTTATTTTCCATGTTGAGTGAGTATCGTATCTCCACTTGTGCTCAGAAAGGCCTTGGCTGTCCAATCCCCCTGTTGAATTATTCATCACGATTTGACGTCACAGCTACGGTATCTTTAATAGAAAAAACAATGTTTCGTGAAGAAGAAAGAGCGGTGGAGCGCTAGGAGCATGAGAACGTTATCCGTCAACATAGATTAAGAGCCCCGATCACTCATCGGGAAGTAACTATTAAATTGCGAAAGTATGAAATATAACAGAAAAGCTATTCTAGTATAACAACAGAGGTGAAAAACATTCGTCTCGAAATTGGAACAAATTGATTGAGTTGCTGTCAAATGCATCAATTGATAAAGCCTCGTTATATCCGATCAAAATGATTTTTCACTCTTTCCTGTAAAAACAATTTCGTATCTAGTTAAATAATGATGTTGCGCTCCCCCATAATTTGCTATGTGTATGGATATCTCGTCATTGTTCTAGGTTTCATTGAAGGTGTTTTCTTAATCATAATGAAAATGTGTTTTTGATAGTCTTTTGTGTACATGGCGTGTCTAAATATTTTTTCTGAGTGATGTATCACATTCATTAATACCATTTAATCATTTCCATTACCAACAACAAGCACATTATAATAACAATACAAATATCATAATTTTAAATACTATGCGAAACCCAAAACATTTGAAGAAAATATACCAAGCGTTTTTGTCTTCCATAGCCTATGAAGCATTTGATTCGAACTTTTTTGTCTGCATGCTACTAAAATTCATTTCGCTACCTCAGGCTGAGTTATTTATGAGATCCATTCGTTGAGCAGTCAGTTTCATTGTTCAATTGATCGTAAATTTTGTAGTGCGCCATGTCTGTTCCAATAGACCAATTCGTAGATACAATCTGCGCATGCGCAGATAAAGGTCACCTGTACAAAAATTGTAAAACATACCGAGACTAATACTGGATACATGATCACGAAAGCTATGTAATCATTATTCATGCATGCACCTGTGATACATTCTCTTGAACACAGGTGGAAGTAATCCTGTCAAGAGGGCAAACAACGAATCACCGCCATTAGCTGTGATAATTGCAAAAGGCACACAGAAGGATTTATCTATGTTTAAAAAGAGATCTGTTGATAGTTGGGGTCATCTGAACCATGTGCGTACTACGAACCGGTCTATTGACACCTCTCTCACCTAGAGCCATTACGTGTATGTTTGTAAGTTATGCATTTTCTTAGTGCCATACGAAACAAGTAAATCATATAACATGGTATAAGTATAGGTCCCATTATTGTCGAGCCAATACGAAAAGAGTAATTATCATCTTGGTCTTCTTTTAACATCATTTATTTCTTCAGAACACCAGCGTTTTTTAATCGTCTCCCCTCCGAGGTGGAAGCTGAGAGAGCAAGAAGGAGAAGACTGATTTTAGAAGCAGCAGCACAGAGCAGAACAGAGCAAAAAGCTTTCATCACAGTCGATGGATCACCCGATAGGTAAGCATAATCACATCCCAGGACAAGTAGAATAGCACATCCGGACATTTACCATTGGACAAACTAACCCTAGGACAACTACCCCGAGGACAACTGACCTATGGACTACCACTGCCGGACAAATCAAATTTTGATTAACACCCCCGGACAAATATTCCGCGTACTACACCCGGACAACTACCCTGATGCGACACTTATACCCATACAAAAACTGCCTCTGGACGATTATTAAACACAGGACGATTACCATCCATTAATCACCCCCCCCCCCGAAAAATGCCTAACATTATTTAGGCCCACATGATTGAAGGAAGAAAATAAACGCTTTGAGCAGGAAAGGGACAATAGTTCTTGGTTTGTAGTTGTCTGTTGGTTGAGAACTGCCTGGCATAGATACGGGCCTTTATAGGGGCCTATATCTAAGCAAGTCACAAACTGTTTTCTTTATCAACATGCATACTGTCAATACTGATCTTTCGGTCAGTTTATCATCTTTTGTGGAGAATTTTTGCATGAATACTAACCGTAACTGGGTAATCAAGTACTCATTACCTTGCGGCTTTTGCAGTATCAGAGGTGCTTAACATGTGAATGTCTTTCCACTGAACTATAATGTTGTTGCGATGACCTAGGGTAACATTAAGGTCAGAGGTCAATGGTTAAAGTCAAATGTAAATTGTAACTTAATGCACTAAATAAAACAATCAATTTCAACTTTGGACAAATTATTACGTAGAGCAAATTATAATTGTGTAAACTATTTATATAAGTAAAGTCTTACTTTATTACATATTGATTGTTATGCGCTACATAGATTGAACATACTATTCAAAATAAATTTATCTTGTCATTAGAACTTTGGCAAACAACCTACACTTCGTAACCCAAGAAGAATATTTTCGTACAGTGCTTTGTGAGCTGTGGTGTGTTATTTTCTACCCTCCGTTTCACAAGATGACAGGCAGGAGCGTATTATTTCTTCTGTCCCTTCGGTTGAAATTGAGATACCCTTCCCAATATCAATTACCATGACAACGTCACCTCCCAGTCTTTGGTGTAGGGTTACCCGAGTCTCAGCGAGTCACTATGACAATGATTTGACAATTTAGGTCGTGGAAGGGTATGACGAGTTCGAGTTTGGAAAGAAATAAAGATCAGGTGAAGACAGGAAAGAGTTATTCCAAAATATGTCAATCTTATTTCACTAACTTGGATATTTCGAAAGGCTTACTTATTGAATCCAGATAATTGATTAAGGAAGCGTATACTACGGTTTTTCTTACGTGATTATTGAATTATATATATTTATAGTAACATGGTATTGTCTATTGTCTACTTTAAATAAATTCGCCTTTAAGTACAACAAATCAAGCGCATCCCATGCTACTATCATTATTCAATCTAAACACACACATCTATTGGTAAATCTTTCTCAACTACAATGTTTTAAGCACAATATATTGCGCTTGTTCAGCATACTTATTTATGAACACGAATTCAATATCCATTATAGAAATTCGGTAATTCAACAAACACGCCTTTTTCAATTTTCTTATGAATAAAGGCTACATCTTAAATTATACTAATCAAATAAACTAAAACGATATTTTCTACAGTTTAGCATACCTATTGGTGAGAATAGGTTTTTACATACCCATTTCACTCAGATAGCTACATAAAGGCGTTTATTTACGTCATTACCATCGATTAGCGTATTATACCTCGGGTGATCAACATACTATTATCTGTCTCGGATCACTAATCATCACCATCAATATCCATCGTGTCTTGAGGTGAACTTCGTGGATGCAGCATACATCTCTCATCAACAGGTGGGATGTTCGAAGAATGATAAGCAATGAGTAAGATTACTCTCTGTGTGACTAAATGGGATATCTGATGAGAAATCTGCCCGAGAGTCGAGACACGGTTAACTGCCTAATAAGTGTGATTTGATGAAAAAAGAGTTCCTATCATCTTAACACATATCCTGTAAATAAACATAAGAAGTCATAACGCTGTCTTGTTTTCGTTCTGTCTTTCCCCATTTTCCTACTTCTTTCTATGCTGATTTCCCCCTTAATGTCTTCATATTTTAATATTTACTTCTCTTTTCCCTTTATACAATTTATCCTTCGTCATATAAATTGCCTTGTAGCCTATGTTAAACGGCCAGGTTGATAATAAGTCCCAATCCAAAACGGACAAACAAACTTACAACGAAGTTCAAATGTATAGCTTGCAGGGTGAGTCGGAAATAAAGCACAGTCCTTCGGCTACTTGTTCGTGGAGGCTGATGACGCTCGGCTACTTCCGTCATTGTTCGGGATGACCGATGACGCTCGTCGAGCCGTGGGCACGTTCTCTCCAACATGGCCTCCGGGAGCGTTTTAGAGTGTAGACGAAGGAAGAGGCGAAGCAGTAGGTGTGAATATCCACGGAAGGGTTTCGTTCGGTGAAAACACCAATGTTTCCGAGAATGAAGGCTAATGTTTCACTTTAATGAGAAGGGGGTGCGAGTCTAGGTTGCCATTGACGTAACTCTGTACGCCACTCGGACATCGTCTCCGCCGGTCGGCTACATGAGGAACATGAATGAGAAAATGAAGAAATAGATACCGGCGCCATGTATGTACATGACTTGCATTGTGGGTTAAAATTATATTGGGTAACATTTGCCCTGGTATCACTTGCCCTAAGGTACTCAAATAGAAAATGTCGATTAATGCACTCATTCTTATTTCACGAAGTAAGAAGACCTGTAATATTATGTTTAAGGTCATGTTGAAGCTCGACACGTACTTCTATGTGTACTCCTTCCCTCGGGTATGTTGAAGCGGCATTGTGTGTCGTTTTGTATTAAAAAAAAAAGAGAAAATTAGGAGAGATACACAAATAATATAGGCTGCACGTGACAAAGAAAATGTTTTTTAAATGTCATGCTAAATGGATAGAACATTGAATGAATGTTTGGGAATGGAAATACCCTTTTAATGGATGTTACACACAAATAAGATTAAAACGAATGGTTAGCATTATTTTGTTAAACGTTAAACTTTCTAAAGAAATAGCTACGGTAAATGGATAGAACATTATTAAAATGAACTAGATCTCAAAGATTGTCGTAAGAAAGAGAAATATATTTATCGGACAAAAGCTGTATGAGCAAGGTTGAGAGATTAAAGATAAACTTTAGTACTGGTAATGCGATTGCGTTGTGAAAGAAAAGGTGTGGAAAGGATCAGAAACAGTTGATCATGTAGCATGTAAGTATTGGTGTGCACTGCAAAGTTCTGGAGTCATCAAAATCATAATAAATTTGACCGAGTCTTGGTAAAGTAACAAGCACTCACATAGAAAGCTATATATGGGACAACACACATGGTGTCGGGGCTAGTACTACCTCGATTTCCTTGTCTTTCTATGCTCATTACTCAGCCAGTATACATTTTCTTCCAAAATTGTTTGGCACATGTCATTTATTTGTAATCTTGAACATTCAGTGTAAGTTTCGTTTGATTCTGTGAGAATTAAATTTTTTTTTTTACCAGTACTGGAGTTTATCTTTAAGCATTCTGTGATTGATATCAACTTCAGTAGACTCAAAGATTTCCAATTAGAATTCATATTTTATGGTATATTTAGCTTTAATGAGTTTTCTCTCTAGTATTAAAGTACTTGACATACAAACGTGTTTTGAATGACGGCAGTTTTTCCTTCAGGCACTCGTCTATTCTCACCCGATTCAGAGAAAATTATGATACGAGTTTCAGAAATAGATTTTCATGGAATTAATATGACGGTGTATTGTATGGTGACATAAATGCAGACTGCTATTTAATTCGTTTTTAAGAATTTGCGGGCATATCATTATAATTCTTCTGTCTTTCTATCTGCTGTTTGAAAGACTGATTGTGGGCTAATAATTTGCGTCCCATGATGTATTTGAATTAAACCACTGATTTTTGTTTGGTTTAATTCACTGAATGAACAAAGAACTGTATATTTAATCAATATTTTAATATACCGGTTATATTCTGCATTGTTCATGATACATGGTCATGAAAGATAAGTCTGAACAAATACATCAACTTTGCCAGATTCACGGACACAATATGCACAACACTGGTGTTTTGCTTTGATAATAATAAACATTTCTATGACATAGTATCATATTTTCTAAGTTTCGGTCAGTGCCGTCGTATCGATAAATGTGTGTGTATATGTGTAAATCATTGGTTGTACGTACAGTATATGACTTCCAGTAGAGCCTTTGTACACACTGAAAAGCCGGCAGTGTACTTTTCTGGCCTTTTTAAAATCGATATCATTTTTTGTTCATATCAAATGATCTTAGAGGGTTTATGTATGAGTAGCTATGTATACACGATGAGAGCAGCTGAAAAGCTCAACCAGGGGATATGTTTGACACCCTGGTCGTCCTACTCATGTATGCTTTATAGCCTACAATCATAATCTGTTGCAACGTCGTGTTCTGAATTCTTAAATTCTCCCTCTATTGTTCTTTCTCTTTCTCTCTCAGTCTCCAATCTCTATGTCTACTTTTTTTCCTTTGAAAATTAATTTACGTTAATTTCTTTTACTCACTTTTAGATATATATATTTTTTATATCCTCTCCTCCTTGATTCTCTCTCCCTAATTCATTCATTCTCTCTCTCTCTCTCTCTCTCTCTGTCTGTCTCTGTCTCTCTGTCTCTCCCTCTCCCTTTCTCCCTCTCTCTCCCTCTTCATTTCTCCTCTCTCTCTCTCTCTCTCTCTCTCTCTCACTCTCTACCTCTCTCTCTTTCTCTCTCTTTCTCACTCCCTCTCTCCCCCCCCCTCTCTCTCTCTCTCTCTCTCTCTCTACTTCGCTATATTATTTCTCATTTATCAATAAACCCGTGTATTCCATTTTCTGTCTATATATCTTTCTGCCATCCTGTCTCTGTTTTCATATGTGCCAGCAATTGCCGTTGACTATACATTTTTTGATACATTCTGCGTTGAATGACAGTTTACCATATTCACAAACGAATACGATGACAAAGTAAAGATAACCTTCATCTACACAGTATTTTATTTTACAAGCTACGAATTCTTTGATGATTTTTTCCCGGTAATATTTTGATGTCATTTGCCTGAAGCTATAACATTTAATTTTTTATGTATTGACTATTTTGTTAGGGAATTTTTACCAATTCACAAAATCTCAATTGATGCCGTGAATTCTCTCCCCCATCGTTTGTTCATTCAATTTCCCCTCCTTCCCTACACCACAAATTCATCTGAGAGGGCGCCATTATAACTACACATTTTGGTCTCATCCTGACCTAATTACCGTGATGCATGTATATCATAGTGATTACTGACATCCCTCGCCTGTATAACTAATTACCCCATTACTTCTCAGTGTCGTTCTGCCTTCCGTGTACAGAAACCTGGCGTTAAACATCATTTTGGCCTTTTCGCCGCCTAAAGGTTCCATTATTATAATGATGTAAACGAAAACCACTTGCATTTTAAGAGACACCGAAGTGCAGTGCCTTTACCCCAAGGCATGACACCTACTTCCTAAACAAGAGAGGGAAATAGATTTTTAGAAAGAGAGAAGCGGAACAGGAAACGTAGTTTTTGGTGTTAACAATCTTTATGTGTTTGAAGTCTTAGCGTTCCATGCATTGCGATGCAACCACCTCATCCTTGACAGGGTGATATCTACAATAATGCAATCAGAATTTAAAGAAATGTATTAATCAAAATATGAGTAAGACTAAAACAAAATGCTTCTAAAGATTTTCTTCATCCTTGATTTTCCCATCATTCATGTTCTCTCCTCTATTAAATATTTCTAATCGAAGAGCTAGCTATTCCAGGGGGTGTTTCACAAAGATCCTAAGTCTAACATTACTCTATTTGTAGCCTTAAAATAAAATATTTTCAAATGAAAAAAATTCAAGTATTTTATACTTTTCATAAATTCCACATCAAGAACATGAAATCTCCTTGAATCAACATTTCATGCCCTTTTAAATAACTTTTACAAAATATTTTCAAAGAATCTCACGGCTGTCCATAATGATTAAGTCCAACTTAGAGATAAGTTCAACTTAGGATCTTTGTCAAACACCCCCCTGTCTTCTTCTTCCTCGCCTTCCTCGTCTTATGGTAATTGCGTTTATTGATTAAACCATAATCATTACTGTGATAGTTATGGATTCATAATTCTGTTTACACTGAATAAATTAGAGTATTTTCTGGAGGGACCAATGGTTAGCTGCTTCCGAGACCTTTACACACAGACACAGTATTAATGATTCAACCAAATCTAGAGTCAGCGAATTATGATGCAATACACTTTGATACCAACTACATTTATCATGTTGCTTTAAACGTTCTCTCATCTCTCCCTTCCTTCTCTTTCTTTACCCCCCCCCCCTCTCTCTCTCTCTCTTTTCCTTCTCTCCCGTTTCCCTTCTCTCCCGTTTCCCTTCTCTCCCCTTCTAATAGGTTACTCCGTGAAGATGGAGCGGCTAACGGAGACGGTGAAACATCTGAAAAACTCGTCGAAGATGAAGGTAAGAATATTTATCATCACGTCGAAACAATAACTGAGCGATTCAGTAATCCGACGCTTTGCGTCATCACTGTTTATAAATAGAACATGATAAAGGTTTTAAAGAATGTTTTTGGCAGGAATTATTAATTAACACTTCAGTGTCGTGTTATGCTTTCATCTTGGCATTATTTTTCATTTCATATCGTCTTTCAAGCATATTAACGTCATCAAACCAAAGGAAATTAAAAGCTTTTCTGTATGGTGCATTGTTATTTACACAAATATCACAAAACCTTCGGATAAGAGCTTGGTCTAACATGTTCTAATGCGATCACAGTTCACTTGTATTCCTTGCTTTTATGAGCTATCACCTTTCAACCAACGATGGAAATGCCAGTTAAACTATAATTTCTATTGAGGAAAAATGTTTTTTGATGGCGTAGATGGCACTAGTCACATATAATATTACTGCTGAAGCGACGACTTGGCTTGGCTTGTTTATATTATATTTATATTTTATATTATTTAGTGTGCTTCGTTGCTATCACTGGGTTCTGATGATAATTAATCTTACATATTAAAAAACATTCTTATATTTATACTAGTGATTGCCAATTCTTGTTTATCTCTTCGTTTTGCTTTAGTTTTTTTTTCATTATGGATCATCATTAAAAAGAATAAATAAACTTTTCAACACATTTTACTGAACGTATTTTATTTGTTTGTTATTACAGGAGAAAATCGTTGGAGCCCACCAGCTTACATACCCCCTACCTGTACCCTTGGTGAGATTACAGAGTGCGATAGTGAGAATCTAGAGGGTATGGAAACACCCCGTACACCATGCTCGAATCATACATCGAGGAGTAGAGAAGTTTCCTTCTCAATCTCAGACAGAGATAACAGGTAATTACCTCTTCTTTTTCTTCTTCTTCTTCTTCTTCTTCTTCTTCTTCTTCTTCTTCTGCTTCTTCTTCTTCTTCTTCTTCTTCTTCTTCTTCTTCTTCTCCATTTTCTTCATCTTCTTCTTCTTCTTCTTCTTCTTCTTCTTCTTCTTCTGCTTCTTCTTCTTCTTCTTCTTCTTCTTCTTCTTCTTCTTCTCCATTTTCTTCATCTTCTTCTTCTTCTTCTTCTTCTTCTTCTTCTTCTTCTTCTTCTTCTTCTCCTCCTTCTTCTTCTTCTTCTTCTTCTTCTTCTTCTTCTTCTCCTTCTTCTTCTTCTTCTTCTTGTTCTTCTTGTTCTTCTTCATTTTCTTCCTTTCTACTTCCTTCTTCTGATTATGTTCTTGTCCTTGCCTTTTGTCGATGTTCTCAAAGACGTTAAAAATTCTACCCAAGGCAATCTCAATAGCCCTGTCCATCACCCTATGAAATGTGCCAAAATCACAACGGCATTTGAACAAGGCCGGTCTCTATCGGTAATTCAATACAGGGTATTGAAACTGTCCTTGAGTTGGCTTCTAGAAAGTCTTTGAAATCGTGTTTTTGTTTCGTTTTTGTCCTGTCTAATTCCCATTATTTCGCTTTCTGATGAGAAAATAGACACCCGGATCAACCAAATAATCTCACTGGCACAATTTTCTTCAAATTATCCTACCCAATCCCCCAATTTTAAGGGCATATTAGGAACAGTCAAAAATGGTAAAAGCAGTGCATCGAATATAGATCACAATGCGCATTACATTTTGAAATATTTATATCTTAAATCTCAAACGTGTTAAAGGTGAAATTCAAAGAAAATCACAAATATGTCAACTAATGTATGACTAGAAACTGGTAAGCTAACAGATGGCCATCGTACAAGTTTTAGGTCAAATACATATCGGGTGATTTATAAAAATACAAATACAACCACCTGCATAGCAGCTGGGATATACGAGAGATTCGCCGGAAAAATAACGATGTTTTAATGACGTCACTATATGGACCAATACTGCCCAAGCAGACGACATTCCATAGAGAATGAACATAATTGCAAAGCTTTTAGTTGTCAAATTATAATGAGTTTAGTGTATATAAATGTGATGGCATGTCAAACCATTCAAAAGGGATATGACCCGATTCCGATAACTAAAATCTTTTGCTTGTAAACACACAGGATAGGGGTTAATTAACAATCAAAGAAACCAGACTTTCGAATTGAAAACACCCGGAATGATATTAAGGACGGCATTTGTTCCCTCTTGAAACGCCGAACATACCGCGGTGTGTGCAGCTGAATATTCAATGGCGTCTTAAATTGTTTACAAGCGACAGATTCCTTTATTTTTGTATCGCTGCATTTGTCATCAAAATAAAACCATGCGCGGGGTTTAGAGTGAGGCAATATATTATAAATTTAGCCTGACGGTAGTGAAGTAAGAGAAAAAACTCGAGATAAGATGAAAACACAAGCACTGAAAATGTGTGAGATGTCATGCGACATCGTCTGCTTGTGCAAGTCATGTCCATACTGTGATCTCACACATCTCTGCAGCGTTCGGAGAGTTCTTCAGGTGCTATGCCGGGGCTGTATTTAAGCGTTTTATAATTTATAATAATCATTACTTCGAATGTTTCCAAGCATTGAATTTTGATAACCTTGTCGAATCAAAGTTTCAACTTTGCAATAATGAAATATAGTTAGTTTTTTAAATCAATGAATATCTACTTTAAGCATATTTGATTGGATAATCCTTTTTTTAAATGTGCCCAGGCCATGACTCACATTTGTAATACTCAATTTTTTTCTCATTCCAGATATTGCGATCATAACGGTGACGTATCGGACAACGCTCAGGTTGTGATCAGACGTCACGGTGACGTCAGTCCTTTGCATCCACCTCCCGTCGATGAGTTTGAGCGTGTAGGTCGATACCGAGGAAAGTCACCTAGGACTATGCTCAATCCAGGAGAGGTTGTCAAGAGCGAAGGAACCAAGACTGGTGACTCCCTTACAGTTCATGTCCAAGTCCATAACCATCCTGTCAATGATCATGCAGCCAAATCACCCGATTTCAAGAACAGCAAAGGTGACGTCAGCCAAATACGACATATTGATGAAAGGCAGAGGAGCCCTATTAGGGAGGGTGGAGGAAAGAGAGAACGCGACAGAAGCGCAGATGACAAAGTGCCTATCAAGGGAGATCGTTCACCGTCTCGAACGAGACGAAAAGACACACCAGATACTGAAAGACATCCGCACCCTCCTCCTGAGCGAAAGGAACCCACCATGCACGGTCCAAGGGAAGATGGTAAGAACCAGACCGTGCGAGCGAGTGAATACAAGGACCTTTGGCAGCTGAGGTCAACGCTCGAGATGCAGCATTCGTCTGAAGAATCAGGATCGTCTGAGTATGATCCAACTGTGATAGGAGCGACCGTGGAAGAAAATATGCTACCTCCTCTCCTGCGGAGTCCAACTCTGGAGGAAGAGAGTAGTGGACAGGAGAAGAGTGATGGGAAGAGTGGTATTGATGATAGCTTTGAGCAAGCTGTGAGTAGTATTAGCGCGGAGGAGTCGGACATATCTGAGCGAGATCGGGACAGTGGTGGTTCGGGGAAAGATGGTCCGAGGAATCTTCGCAGAATGCATGGTGACAGCGGCTATGCATCCATTGAACAAAAGACAGAGACTGAATGGAAACGACGTCAAATGTTCGCAGCCAGTGATCACGAAAGCACGAGCTTTGAAAGTGCACAGACCTTTACCATGTCAAGTGATAGTAGTAGTCCGACAGTAGACAAGCCTGTGGTGAATGCTGTCGTAGGGCGAGCAAGTGAAGACAGCAAGCCCATGACACGTAATAGAGGTGATCGCCGTACTGCGTCAACCAAACGACGAGAATTTGTAGCCGGTAGAGAGGAAGCTATATTTGGCAGTTTCAGCTTTCCTGAAGAAGAAACTGAAACGTCTGGAACTGAATCCACTGTTACAACTGGGAAAGAGAGTGATCAAACGTTAAACGAGAGACGAGGGGCGCTGCGTGAGAGGAAAATCCGTCGTACAAGTCCTCTAGCTAGATCAAGAGAGGATGGACTAAGTTGTTACCCTAAAGGTAGAGATTATAGTATAGATGAGAAAACTGATGCCTTGTTCAAAGAGTTTATAAAACAAGATGTTCTCTTTGATACCAATTCTAGAAGATCTCGTCCATATAGAAGCCATAGATTACAGCTTCATAATAAGCAGCATAGTGATTCTATGTTAGAATATCCCACCAAGGTGTTATGTAGCCAAGGGGGTAATGAGCCTAGGAGTATCAGTTTCGATTCACGAACCTGTGGTGAAAGCTCCGCTAAAGAACGGCTGACTACTCTCTTGCCTGGTACCGGTAGAACAAAGTCTCTTATATCCCAGGATAGCATTGAAGAAGAATATTTGCGACAGGAAAGGAAGAAGGCCTATAGTACAGAGGGATCACCCGAGTCGAAATCTTCACGGGAACCTTCCCGTGAGGCGTCCCGGGAAGCATCGAGGGAAGCATCACGTGAGCCTTCTCGTGAACCCTCTAGAGAACCATCACCAACAGGTGATCCCAAATCCCATGCAACCACGCCTTTCAAACATTATGATCGACCTGAAAAGACTCCTTCACACGACCTGCCTCCTAGGTTAGAAGACGTCAAAAACAGAAGAAGCGCTTTCCGGTTAGTTAAGAGGTCGCCCCAGATTCGACGAGCGGGAGCGGCTTCTTTCCATGATGGTGCTGTCACTGCCTACAGTGCTGATACATGCGAGATCGATGATGAGATAAGACGTACGAGAAGAGAAAGCATTCCTTCCAGGCATTCGTTAGATCTTAGAGATCTACGAGACAGACAAACCCTCGAACCACCAACCATCCTTGTAGGAGGATACGAAACACCAGATGATCAACAACACACACCAGAAAGGGATGATAGATTACCAGCACGGCCAAAGGATCCCTTACCAGTTTCCCCTGGTAGAAGACCTCCGCCTGAGGATTTTGCTCGACCGGCTCGATCAGAAGAACGGTCACGTAGCCCTCGAAGCAGAAGGCATCAACGATTCTATGATCCCAGTCCGAACAGAGGAGAATCACCAGGAAGAGCTGTGTCGCCTGGTCGTGGGTCAATTAACGCTCACTATAGGGCTTCTAAATCACCAACAAGGCCTCGGCGAAGTATGGAGAGTCTTAGTATGGACAGAGGGGATCGAGGTTACCACGACTCACTGGACGGAAGGAGAGATTTTCTGCAAGTGCCTGGAAACCGGGGAACGGGAAGATCTGCTAGTTCTTCTCCTCGACATCGGCTCAAGAAGCACGACACATTTGGAGGTGTTAGTCGACCATTCAGCGAGGAGTGTCTCTTGCGAAGTGATGAACCAATTCGTGACCATCCAGAATATCAACAAACCTTTCACCAAGGCAGGTATGTACGACCTATAGATTTCGAGAAGTTAGAGAAGAGGCATCAGAAACCCCATTCCAAACAAGCAGAGAAGATCCTTCGATTCGAAACAAGGTCTGGTTCCGAAACAGCTCTACTTGATTGCAGGGAAGAGCGTAGCAAGAGGGAGGCACGTAGGTCACCGGTGAGGGCGCATAGCGACCAAGATGTCCTGTCTGATTGGAGAAGGAATGGGGAGCACAAAGCTAGATCACCGGAGAAATTTTGATAAAGGTTGAATATTTTGCCCCCTTTTTTAAAATGATTTCCTCAAGTTTCTTTGCAGCTTGCTTATATTTTATTTTTGAATTATGCAATTCCGAATGTGCTTTGCTTTGCCCACATTTATCAAATTCTATGGATTTTTTTTTTATATTACAACCTACAGTGCGTGTAGAATTGTACCCTTTTAACAAAAACGAAGTTTGTTATAATAAAGGGGCAATCAAATTGTAATTAATTGTTTTAGCACAGTATAGGAAGTCAGGTTAGTTTTATGAATCATACACATCGTACAAATCAAGTTGTATTAAAAACAGAACAAATTCTTTTGATAGCCATTCGTTTTTCTATCAAACATATTACACACCACGTACATTTGTACCGTCTGACTAAAATGTGAAATCTGATTTCTTTTCCCTCTGAGGTTAATGCACCACAAAACATGTTCTTGGTTATCATAAAGAGTAGGAATAGTCATGTGTCAAAGAACGTTCCATAATTTATTGATGGAATTTATATGCAGTTAGTAGCCCTGCTAAAGGTCAGACCAGACTAATTTTATGTTCATGTATGTTCACAATACATGGTAATATGTGGGACACTGAAATGATCATAAACCTTGCCTTGCCCTTTATACCCTTTATAATGACATGTGTTTCTCATCAATTTTAATCAGGTGACAATGCAAGATGCAACGGAAACATGGCTACCTCAGTATATGCATTCTGTCAGTTTAAGGTGAACTGACTAGTTACCATCTTTAACATAGCAAAGTTTGCCAGTGACAGTGTTGACTTTAGAATGATTGAAATTCTTTGATAAGGCAGACCGATATGAGGTAGCAGTTTGTTCGTTCATTAACATTTTATAACGCTTTATTCCAATCCTTCACCCCCCCCCCCCCCCCCACCCCATGAAATATATTTATCCTTGCCATAAGCTTACAATTTATAACCGTTATAATGTTGCACCACTACCACCAACAAGCTAGTAGTCTCCTTGCTACTACATTGTACTGAGACAGTGGTGTTTCTAACATTGGGTTATGGACCGGGCTAACCCTCATTTCGCCCTACCCCACGCACACTTTCATGTGAGCATGACAAACTACTTTAAAATACCCGTTTACAAAATACATGTATTGGAGGAAAAATCGGCTAAACTCTTTCAAAATACTTGGAAGCAAGCTGGCAAACCCACTATCTTATAGCGCTGGAGTGCTTGCCAAATTGAAGCCCAAATATGTTTCAACCCGTATTTAATCTATGCCTTGATACTACAATGTGAATGAAATGAATGATGCGTGCTAATATTAAACACAACCACATCAAAGGATCGACGAACCGTTGCGGTTATCTGCGTCAATTGTTGACGCAGTAAACCGCAGCGGTTTGTGGCGGCATATTGTATGAACGATGCTTAACGTGACATATTACATGTTATTATCTAATTAATTTTGACAAAATATTACAAAATAGAAGGCTTATTTCAAGTTGAAAACTTCATTCATGACTAAATAATTTGGGTTTAACAAAACTATCATCAGATGCGTCAGGCAAATGTGTCCAGGCCATTTATATCTTTAAATGTTAACTTTGTTAAAATTGGAACCCGTATATTCTGATTCATCAGTCCTTGCTTGCGATGTATTGTCTGTAATGTTGTGACAGTTAGCATGCAACGGATTAATCAACCTTTAGAAGAGAAAAGTCTGTCGTGCCTTACATATTACATTTTTGTTTCAAATACAAGAAAAATTTCAAAGCCTGCAAAGCGCTAAAAGGTAAAAGAGAGGTCGCTATCAACCTTGAAAGCTAGTATTATGAAGATATCAAAACTCCTGCGAAAAAAATGTCGTTCCTTTATTCATTTAAGGTGCTCTATATGGCATCTATTATGTCAGTAGTCCATCTTGTGCATGATCTGTCTAAGCTTTTTCATGAATACATTAAATGTAATAAAACTCTGTGCCCTCACCGCGTAAAGATGATATCAACACGATTATGCAATCATTGTATTTCGACTTCTCTTGTCAAGTTTTGAAACGTTTATTTCTGTTTTTGTATGACATTCCGAGACAAAGTATGTAACAATTTAGATAAGAGATGAACATCTTGGCTGCCTATATGTGTATATAACGTTACAAGAAATATTTTTGTACATACTATACAAATACATTTTCAATAGGATTTAGATTGTAGATGAAGATTATAATGAATGATTGTTGATGACTTGCACAACTCCTAATGCTATTGAATGCAATCACCATGCAATAGAACTATGATTGTAAAATAGATATATGATACAACCTAAATGAAATGCGTAAATAATGTAAAAGTAGTTATTAAGAACGTACAATGTAGATAATTACTTGAATTGGAAAAGCCTTCGAATGAGATTTTAAAGCATGCAAGATAATGACACATGTCACATTGGAACAACGAATAAAATGAAATTGAATATATTGTTTAAATATTATGTCTTACTTTTGTTTATTTAATGTCTCTGTTAGGAATTATATCAGCGTTCAGTTATGCTCATTAAGACATCCAAAGCACTAAGATTTGTATATTTTGGTGGTGCTTAATAGCAAAAGATAAACAAGTCTAAAGCGATTACGTAGTAAAATTAGTAATGCCTTCAGGTAGAATCCTATGTATATCTACTAATACTCCTTAACTTGATACTCATTGCTGGGTAGTGTAAAGAGAGAGAGAGAGAGAGAGAGAGAGAGAGAGAGAGAGAGAGAGAGAGAGGGGTAAAGGGTGAAGAGGGGAAGTGGAGAGGAGAGAGCGAGAAAGAGAGAGAGAGAGGGAGTAAGAGAGAGAGAGAGTGGGATAGAGATAGAGAGAGACAGAGAGAGAGACAGAGAGACAAAGAGAGAGCATGGGAGAGGTAGAATGTGAGATGGGAAGGGGAGAGGAGAGAGCGAGAAGGAGAGAGAATAAGAGAGAGAGAGAGTGGGATAGAGATAGAGAGAGACAGAGAGAGAGACAGAGAGACAGAGAGAGAGACAGAGAGACAGAGAGAGAGCATGGGAGGGGTAGAATGTGAGATGGGAAGGGGAGAGGAGAGAGCGAGAAGGAGAGAGAATAAGAGAGAGAGAGAGAGTGGGATAGAGATAGAGAGAGACAGAGAGAGAGACAGAGAGAGAGCATGGGAGGGGTAGAATGTGAGATGGGAAGGGGAGAGGAGAGAGCGAGAAGGAGAGAGAATAAGAGAGAGAGGGCTGTCGTTGTTTGCTAAATTATCAATAATGAGGACATACAGTTAACAACTAAATTGTTCATTCTCTTAATACCAAGTTTTGTATTTTTTTGAAATATTAATATGTTAAAAATGTATTTGACCCAATTTATGTTTCTTGAGAATGTGATATATTAAAGCTTACATCGAAAAGTATTCAACCAGTCCATCTTTCATTCTTGATTGACGAGGGAAAAAAGAGGGAAATTTACAAGTGGTATGAGCAATTTGGTTGACTGTATGAGTCATTATGTATCATAATGATTAGTTTAATCACATTTTCAGCTCACGCTACCTTCAAATTGCTAGGAAAATCTTCTTTAAAACGTTAAACTCCTGTAGAAATAATCTATATAATAATCTCATTTCATGGTGCTTTACCTGTACCTCAAAAGAGTTAAATTAGGTTAGAAGTACAGAAAGTTGTCCTGCTCAAATTTAATTTACTTGAAATATATTGGAAATCCAAAAAAGGATCAAAATTACTTACACAATCATTAAATCTTAAAATGAATGGGCTTTTGTTAATTTGTATTGAATTTCATGCTCGAACGAAAGGAAAATCATATTTATGCCATCTTTTTGTAATATTATGCGAATAGAATTGATGCAGATTATCAATTACAGTTTGACAACGAGCAACATTCTTTCGACTGTCTTAATTCGGCGCACCATTGAACAATGATATTATATACATGGAGTCAATTATATTGAACTGAATTGAACTGCATTTATTTCCTTCTGCATTATACAAATCAAATTACATTTCAGCGATACAAAATAAACAAAAAACAAACAATTTATTTGATCGTGTGCACAAGAAGATGTAGAAAACAGCGATTTACAAACATATTCAATCAGGGCATCTTACTAAATACAACGCGTCTCATTATCCAGCGTTTCTGTTTTTTATTCTTTAACATTACATTTCGCTAGGAATTGAGTAAAGCGGAAGTAATTGTGTACAGTGTGGAACATTATTTGCCCATATAATTCAGTATTATAATTTCCAACTTATCAGATTTATTCTGATATACTTCAGTTTAAAAGCTATATTTTTTATAAGTGTATAGTGGTAGATAATTGCATTTATAAATATGCATGGAGACAGTTAAATTAGAAACAAGCCATTACCAAACGAAAATCAATATTATGTATGACTATTATTTTGTCATCACCAAAATGTATCCATGTTTTGTATCATATTTACGTTCTTTGTAAACTATGTAAGAGCCTTTATTTTAAATGTGAGTGAAACAAATATCCATGTTGATCTTACATTGGACAAATCAATACATTGAATTGAATATAATGATAATAGATGTTGACATTAAAACAAAATTTAACTGATAACGCACTACCAAAACTTATTAATTAAGAAATCTGCAGATGAAGGGTAAATTTGTATTTATTTTTTATTTAAAGATTGTAAGCCAAACTATACAGTTAGAAATATGTTTCTGATATCAAATTAAAAAAAAAAAAACTTTCATAACAGATTAGTATGTGGTCATGCGCACACACCCACAAAAAATCCTTTTCAAGAGAAGAAAAAAGAAATTGTGCATGATCAAGTATAAAGGCATATGCATCAACGATAGCATAACAGTACTGAATAAGAATCGAAATAAAAATAAACAGAGAGAAAATGTCAATATTTAGATCTTTAACATTATCATCATTCATGGTCGGACGTTCGTTGGAAATGGTGGCAGTAAAAACAGATGAATAAATATCACATACCAATCTAATGAATAGCCCCATATAGCACCAATAGTAATAACCAGTGTAGAGGTATCGTGGTATAGTGGTTCATTCACTTGACTCTCAATCCACATGTTGATGGTTCGAATCCAAACTCGGCAATAACGTCCTTTGGCAAGATATTGATCATTTGCCACTGTGCATTGCTTTTCATTTGATGTTAATTTGTCACTTAATGTACTTCTGTTTGAAACAATGTCACGCAAAGTTTAATTGTAGGAATGACATGCGTATTTGTTAGCAGATATCTGACATTACACAGGGTAGTATCCCCAGAGAACTGAGGGTCACAATTTGTGACTTCTATTCTAAGCATATTTATATAAACAGATCCTGGACAGAAGTAGAGTTCAGCTTTAATAGACATGGACATGATGGAAACAAAATACAATGATGAATAACGAAAAAGATGTTAAATGAAAAGAAATAAAGATCACCCACTCAATCAAGATTGATCAAAACAAACCATTTCAAAATTAACCTTAAAGACATTTATAATGAAAGATATGAAGATATGAATAAATAAAGAACGTCAAAAGAAAGAGAAAACATAAAATGCAATATGAATACATCAGACAAATAAGAGGATTATATAACGTGAAATCAGAAGACAGAAAAGATCATAGAGAAAAAGAATAAACAAATTAACATGAAATACTGAATATCCGAATAAACATCGAGCATCATACTATGATTATGAGGTCTAGTTTTAACTTGAATAGCCCGATTGCGAAAAAGGTTGGCCATAGACGAAAAATGAAACCGCAATTCGCCAAAGAATTCTCCTCCCACTCAACATTGGCGAAATTGAATAACCCTTACGCAATACCAAATTGACTGAATCAAGCTTTAATTTGAATGAGCATGTTTAGAAAATTCGGTGACTCGGAACGAAATTGAACGCAACAAGTTTAAAAATGAAACAGGGGAGCGAGTGGAGAAAATTTGCTCAAACATGAATGCACGTTAATGAAATTGATTGCTGCTTTGACGAAATTGGCCGGGAAAACCTAGAAGTAGTATTAATCATTCGCAAACTTACAAACTCCTCTATCATTAGAATCGACAGTGATATCTAGTTTCGATAAATATCATTATAAAATAATTTTATTATACAGGAGCCCTGTATAACCAATGAAACTAAACAACAAACAATATTTTTCCGTAAAACTGACGCGTACCGTACAAAAGACCCCATATACAAATTTAAAACAAATTCGCTGTCATATTGACTATTTTTTGTGGTCTGCATAGTCGTTGAATGCCTGTTGTTGTTGTGCTAGTCGTTTACATCATGGAAAAACCCAGTCATTAGCTTGTTCTCAATCCAAGCATCTCCAGTCGGATCTTGAGATCGAACTCGAGCCATCTCTCTCGAAGCTTCGTTCGTCTGATATCGTAGCAAGGGTTTCTCATCGTCGATGATTCTTTCAATGACGTCAACAACCTCTTCCACTGGTTGGGAGATGTTTTTGAGAACATCTCTCCTCATCTTAACGCGATCGCAGAAGTATTTCCTTGTTTCAGGATCAACTCTCTCATCATCCATCTGTGCCAACAGATCATCGGTTATATCCGGATTGTTCTCCACCTTAGTCGCAGTCGGACCCGGTTGGACAGCCGTCACCCTGTAACATCAACGGGAGAGTGTATATTAATACATCGTACTCGTACTTAGTCGCAGTCGGACCCGGTTGGACAGTCGTCACCCTGTAACATTAACGGGAGAGTTTAGATTAATACATCGTACTCGTACTTAGTCGCAGTCGGACCCGGTTGGACAGCCGTCACCCTGTAACATTAACGGGAGAGTGTATATTAATACATCGTACTCGAACTTAGTCGCAGTCGGAACCGGTTGGACAACCGTCACACTGTAACATTAACGGGAGAGTGTATATTAATACATCGTACTCGTACTTAGTCGCAGTCGGACCCGGTTGGACAGCCGTCACCCTGTAACATTAACGGGAGAGTGTATATTAATACATCGTACTCGTACTTAGTCGCAGTCGGAACCGGTTGGACAACCGTCACACTGTAACATTAACGGGAGAGTGTATATTAATACATCGTACTCGTACTTAGTCGCAGTCGGACCCGGTTGGACAGTCGTCACCCTGTAACATTAACGGGAGAGTTTAGATTAATACATCGTACTCGTACTTAGTCGCAGTCGGACCCGGTTGGACAGCCGTCACCCTGTAACATTAACGGGAGAGTGTATATTAATACATCGTACTCGAACTTAGTCGCAGTCGGAACCGGTTGGACAACCGTCACACTGTAACATTAACGGGAGAGTGTATATTAATACATCGTACTCGTACTTAGTCGCAGTCGGACCCGGTTGGACAGCCGTCACCCTGTAACATTAACGGGAGAGTGTATATTAATACATCGTACTCGTACTTAGTCGCAGTCGGAACCGGTTGGACAACCGTCACACTGTAACATTAACGGGAGAGTGTATATTAATACATCGTACTCGTACTTAGTCGCAGTCGGACCCGGTTGGACAGTCGTCACCCTGTAACATTAACGGGAGAGTTTAGATTAATACATCGTACTCGTACTTAGTCGCAGTCGGACCCGGTTGGACAGCCGTCACCCTGTAACATTAACGGGAGAGTGTAGATTAATACATTGAACTCAAACTTAGTCACAGTCGGACCTGATTGGACCGCCGTCAGCTAATTTTTTTTCCCAAACAGGTTTGCCAATGCTAATATTTCCGGTCATCTGATTGGCTGATATGTTACGTCATTAGCAATGACGTAACCGTTAGGGTGAGTGATAGCGTTATAGAAATCATGCAGAATCATCTTTCATCAACCCATCGTTGGCTCAATCGGTAAGGTTAGCGTAATACAATCATAGAGTTGTGGGTTCATGTCACAGTTTCTTCCGTTTGTTTGCCTTTATAAATAGTGAGATAAAAGCAATAAAAATCAAAGCCTAATTGTTTGTGACCTCTTTCCAAGCTGATAATGACGTATCACCCATTGAGAAGAACGAAAATATAAGAAATTGCAAACCTGTTTGGGAATAAAAAATTCGACCGCCGTCACCCTGTAAAATTAACGGGAGAGTGTAGATTAATAAAACGTACTCGAACTTAGTCGCAGTCGGACCCGGTTGGACAGCCGTCACCCAGTAACATTAACGGGAGAGTATAGATTAATAAAACGTACTCGAACTTAGTCGCAGTCGGACCCGGTTGGACAGCCGTCACCCAGTAACATTAACGGGAGAGTATAGATTAATACATCGTACTCGAACTTAGTCGCAGTCGGACCCGGTTGGACAGTCGTCACCCTGTAACATTAACGGGAAAGTGTAGATTAATACATCGTGCTCGAACTTAGTCACTGTCAGACATGATTGGACCGCTGCAACCCTGTCCAATTACTAGGAAAGTATAGATTTTTATATTAGACTTTTGCTTTAGCCGTATTACCATACAGTTTTGAATATTTACACCATAATGCATTACACATCTAAGACTTAGTAGTCTCTATATAGATTGACAGGAGTGGAAATCCACTCTTCTTATCACGAGTCGTAAAAGAAATCAATTTGATTTGGAGTGGAAAACCACTCTTAGAATAGTGGATACCACTCTCAAAAGAGCAATTAGAACCACTGTCTGGTTTGGATTGCGCAATACTTTTGGAGTGGACGCAACTCCAAAATCGAATTGATCCTATAATATGACTTCTAAAAGCGTGGATTCCCATTTAGCATTGTTAGCAACATGTATACTAAGAGTAAGAGAGTGGAATCGAACAACAAATTTGATAAACATATATGTAAACATTCTTCATGTAGAATCAAAAACATTGACTTTAGGGTTTTGGCTTGGGTTTGTTTTATTTTCCGCCTGGAAATTCAAGTACACATGTATTATTGTAGCAACGTCGATCTGGCGCTGCTCAGTGGCTGCCGGGCTCACGATCAATAGGGCAACAAGAATTTCCGTTTCGGTTTAATAAAATTTGGAGTGGACTATTAGGCTATTATAATTATTATTATTATTATTATTATTATTATTATGTACAAATATAAGAAGAGGAAAGATTTAGCATGCCTTTGTTTAGAGCCATTGCCATTTATAAAATGGCGCCGGTATTTTTAAAAGGTCCGATAATGATGACAAAGATAAAGTTACAAATAATCACTATTCTTGATAAAATAAAACAAAACTAATTCGATCATACATTAGCTCAATTCTTACCATATATTGAATCGTCTACAGATCATAGCCAAGCTTTCTGAGAATCCTTCGAGAGCAAATTTAGAAGATCCATACAGCTCATAGAATGGGAAACCTGCATTGACAGTACCAACAGTATCACTAAATAATATCGAATAGGAATATCGCTTTATATTTGCTGTTTCAGGATTAAACATAGATAAACGTGCCTGCAATATAGCAGTTTCAATGTTCGGGGTAAATTTTATTGTCAGTATTAAAATGCTACATTATTAAAACGAAATTTCGATTAACACAATGCATTATACTGATAAATATCACACATAGTGCAAATATCTATACGAAATGACTTTTAAAGTAATGTTATATAGAGAGCAATGTCCAGACTTCATTCAATATCAAATACATGTGTTTCGATTGGTTTACAAGACTATTTTGATAAGTAAAACTGGGCAGCATTGGAAAAAAGATGTGGGCCTATTAGCATAAAATCATATATATCGTTTTCACTCTGGTAGATTTACAAAAATTAATGAATTAAATAAAGTATGAGATTACCTGCGAAACCTCCGATGGAGCTAATATTGACAATTCTGCCTGACCTCTGAGACTTCATGATGGGAAGTACTTCCTGACAGGCGAACCACGCCAAAGAAGTTAGTTTCGAACATCTTCCTGAATATGTCGAGATCTGTCGCTTCCAAAACACAAAGTCCTGCTATCCCAGCATTGTTTACTGTTTAAAAAAAAAGAGAAGAAAAACTGCAGTTGATACATGATAACAGTTTCGAAAGTACAAAACGAGTTGGGTATAGTCATTTTTCCGCATAATGATACATAACGAGTTATAGATCAATAGATATATGCTGGCACATTTTTTACATTGTACATTTTGTCGGCAAGCATTAGTTTATAATGTTCAATGTATAGGCACTTTGTCCCTGGCATAAAAGAAAAAAGGGCACTGGAATAAATGTGTTGGTCGGGCCAGCTTTGTCGACAGGCTAGCCAAAACACATCTCCCCCAAAGTCCCTACACGTTCTGATTTGACGACAGAACATTAAAATGCCTTAAATGGTGGGGGTGGGGTATCACAATCCCTCTTTAGACGGCCTCTGGATAAACAACATAATTAACACTAAATCCCTGTCACACGAACGAATCTGACATCAGACCGAGAGCAGAGTGAGCATAATAAATACTTACCCGAACCGCCGAATGGCAAATAATCGGTCGGTTTGGTGGTATCGCTGATGTATTAAAAATTATCTTCTTGCAATTAACACATTGTTAGATTGGATTCAAGAAATATGAACTATATCATTTTTTTTTCTTCAAATCGTCTAGTATATTCTTCATATTGTCTTGACTGCATTATATTTGTATAGTACATACCTAGTATATCCAATCGCCCGTGCTTTGACTTGATGTGAGAAACAACATCTACAATCGTATCCTCTTTCGTCACATCCAACCTCCGTACGAATAAACCCTTCTCCAGACAATCGCCAGCTCTGTGCTCGATGTCGTTCTTCGACGTCATGTTCCGCATCGTAGCATAGACGGTAATAGGATCTTGAGATCGTCGGGCGAATCGCAGAGCCGTCTCCATCCCTATACCAGACGAACAGCCAGTAATCAAAGCGATTCGAGACGCCATACTGATAGTGTTTCAAACAGGAGGTCAAAAGAACAATTTATTACAATTTTAACGCATTTCATTTGATTAAAATTCTTTCCGCAACGCTAACTGAAAAACGACTTTATCAAATATACAGCATCAATTCAAATTTCTACGGATTCGTAATTATAATATAGGAAAACATATTCAAATACCCAAAGAGGACATGAGAACCTGGTAAAACGACGAAAGCCTTTGTGTAAGTAATAACCAAGTGCCCTCATGATGACCATATTGTAAGAATACTACCCAGGGAGTGGAGATGGCGCATATTGTGCGTGAATGTACCAGATGACCGGGGTAATAATATCAGTAAAGCGCTTAGAGATGGTATTCTGTATTAAGCGCTTCATACATTATGATTATGATTATTATATATTTTTATTTAACAAAATATCAAGTTACTCATTGACCAATCACGTCACGCACCTGTAAATCGATGGTCTATACAAGCACAGACCCTACCACATGGTACAATAAAGCAAAGGATATAATGTGGAAACATATTATTGGTTATAATTATGCAGTGAGAGAAGGGCAGGCTTCTATGAACATCATGATTACAATATCGAACATCATAGAACTCACTTGGAAACTCACCCTATAGATCGGCGTGTAGGGAAGACTAGTCAGAACAACATCGCATGGCCTTCATTCAACGCATTTATGTCGTGTCCTGCCTACAATTAGTGCAATTGCTCTTACTTCATACAAACTGGTGCCATTTATATTATACATATACATGCAATGTGTCTGCATGATCTACTGCATGAACCCACTCCTATGAGCGACATATATCTTTAGTGCGACTACAGGAACAATTATACTATAACCACGGCCAGTGATATAGTATAGTCTGCGGACACAAACTCTATTTGACATTTTACCACAATTTATGAAGCCTTGGTAAGAGCCTAACTCTGTCCGTCTCGGTCTTTTCTGGAGCAGCTTAAAGTAAAGAGCATAGATATGCAACTTGCATTCAGCATAGTCTCACCGTGCAGACCATAGGTGTATACACGCGAAACGATCAACAAGAGTGTGTGCGTGCAAACTAGATAAAGCATATCGATCCCTGATGATCTGATCAGTGAACTCCCGACCTATATATGCCTGAAATGTATGAGTCGGGGTACATTGTTCCCTGTTATCATTGTAGTCTGCATCCTAAGCTTACACAATTAAACGTTGTAAATACATAATCGACACATGTTTGATATTTCAGGTTTTCCTAATCTGATTCTACTCACCTGCTTGTAAGCTTTTAGAAATCCCAGAAATGAAATACTCTATCACGCAGTGTGTAATACTGAACATGTACGAGTACCTGGTAGTATGCACTCGTTGTATCAAAACATATATATGCACCAGCGAATGAAGAGCATTAATGAACTTTGATCTTGACCTCGTGATCGGAGTAGATTAGTCTCATACAGACCGCAAATCGTCTGTGATGATACAGATACATGCAGCTTTTCAGCAGGTACTGCAACACGGCCGTGCATGGGATAGGAACTTTTTAAATTTGCATCTATGTATTTGTTGGAATTAATTTTTGGAAATATACAGAAAACTATAAAATAATACCAGTACAACTGTGATAATGACCCTTCCAACTTGCATTTATATTATTTCACATTTAATGTGCGAGTGTGCATTTGGTGAATGTATATAACTAAATTACTTGATTTCATTTGAGTTTGAGATGTCAAAATTGTTGATGCTATTTTTAATCGTCCTCAATTTGGAAGGGATGCCTATTTTGAGCTTGACTAAATTCCTACATCTCAGTACAGTATTTAGCTATTAACACTTTTTTGAATTTTACTATAATTTCGGTACGAATGCGGCACTCTGTGTCTGGGGAAAGGAGTGGGAGGGGCATTTAATGGAGTCTAAGCATCTCCCCTACCGGTCAATCTCAATACAAAGTATGAACCTTAAAATCATTCGTCCCCATCTAAACATTACATGTGACTAATATTATATTACACTTCTATTTTGGTTTCTGCAAGCTGGATTCATAGACAACGAGAGAGAGAGAGAGAGAGAGAGAGAGAGAGAGAGAGAGGAAAAGAGAGAGAGAGAGAGAGAGGGGTGAGAGAGAGAGAGAGAGAGAGAGAGTTAGAGAGAGAGAGAGACAGACAGACAGAGAGACAGAGAGAGAGAGAGAGAGAGAGAGACATACACGGGGAGGGGAGGAGGGAGGGAGACTACCCTCACCCTCCCTCCTCCCCTAAAACATCAAAATCGATGACTGAGGTGAGATGAGTCGGTATTTCTTCTTTATTTCTTCTACTTCCAAAATAACAATGATACTTCCAAACTTACATACAAAATATAGCAGCCTGACTTATCGAGTTTGGGCGGTGTTTTTGCAACTGGGTCATTGTGATAATTGAGAGATTACGCCTAATCTGATAAACGACGGAATAACAATGACGATGCGGTAATATCGTAATTAATAGTAAATATCATACGCATTAACATTTGGGTCTAGCAAAAGGGTGAAGCGATATCGATCTCCGCACTGATACATCACCATGACAACGGAACGCAGACGGTAGACTGCCAATCATGTCCACTACTATTAGGCGCTGAGGATATATTTGTCTGTACCTGGTACACTATCCTGCACATGAAGTCTGCGAAGTCGCATAGGATAGCTAGCATAGAGGGTAGGAGGTGAAAGCTGTCTAGAACGAACATAAGTCGCCGATGTTTGCACGAATATCTTTTAAATATCGCATCTCAAGCGATAAGACCCCCGTCACCTGGCTAATATTTGCCATCATACTAGCAGTAGTTCAAAGTCTACTCCAAGAATATTTTCTACATGACTTTGTATATGAAATGGCTCGAAGTTTTATAGCACTAATATATTTACGAATGGACTTCAAACAAGCCACTATCTGCTTCATGACGAATTTGTAAATATGATTTATAACGTTTGTGGTCATCTAATGGAGCTATAGATGAATATTTTATTCGGTTTTAAGAGCTGCAGACTTGGACACCTATAACCATTCCATCTTGACAAGACTGAAAGAAGAATGATTTTCACGAGATAACTCAGAAATCGGCGCAATGGAAGACTTTCGTTTATGACAGGTGCCTTTATATCTTGGACTGTGAGAGAAAATGAATGTTATGAATAGGGTAAGTTTACCTCCTTATTTAGCTTCTTTTCCCTGTATTAAACTCATTACAAAAAAATAATTTGCTTTGAAAGACATGAATTATAATCCGATATGTAGTTTTTAAACAAATAATAAAACAATCAAAGAAGATTTAAAAAATAGAAACATATAAAAAAAAAATATCTAGCAGTTGTGTATGGAACCTAGATAATTTGAAGGCTCAAACATGCGTACTGGTACACTTTGCCTCGGGGCAAATATGATTTACACATTATGTGTGTCTGTGTGTATGTGTGTATTTTGGGGCGAGAAGGGGGTTTAAATCTCGAACCCCCCCCCCCCCCCTCCCCCGTCGACGTCCCCTTTGCCTAGTCTCTAAAAAAATCGAGTGATCACGGACGTCACTCCTCTGGAGAGTGGAAATGTAGTGAAAATAGAGTGAACAATTCACTCTTTTCTTCTTAGAGAGCACTTTAAAATCAATCGATATTCACTCCTAAACTTAGTGATCCTGACATCACTCCCAAGAAAGTGAAAATAGAGTGAAAAGTTATTTTTTTTAGAGAGAGTAATGTTCATACATGCGGGGCTTCCATATTAAAAACATACACCCCCCCCCCCCCCAGAGAGAGGTCAACTGAATGATAACACGTAAATACAAAGCTATACTTGGTAGATGTGGTGATACGTTGTGACACTTAATTTTGGGCATCATGTTTTCTCTATTCTTCTTTTTAGACCGCAATGTTCCGTTCGCTGCTCCTCTTCTCATTCTGCTTAGTGTTGATGATAATGATCTTCACA